TGTCTTTCAGGAATAAATAAATAAAATCTTTAAAAAAAATAAAGAAATAAGCAAGTAAAAATTGTGGTGTATTTATTTTTTTTAAATTTATTTATCTTTGATGTAGACACAAAGTCATTGCTTATCTCTCTGAAGTCACATTAAAATTATGTAAGTTATTTCTATGTGTACTCACTATATTTCAATACATTCAATTCTGTAATAAAAAACAATGACTTAGATACAATTTAATCATTTTATTTGTTTAAAGCAAGCCTATTCCATTTGATTTAGGATGATATCCTAAATGTAGGAACATGATGATAAATATGTTATTTTTATTTAAAAAATGCTTTAGGTAAACTCTACACCAAAGTAGAGCTTGAACTTAGCACCCCAAGATCAAGAGTCGTGTGCTGTACTGACTGAGATGGCCAAGTGCCCCAATATATTATTTTTAAATTAACACTGGTCTGATGCCTAAACAAAATATTTTGAAAGAGTTATACTAATACATCTGCAGAGACAAGGAAGCCAATTTTATTGAACATGTTTCAGTGGTAGAGGGGCAATTTGTTATGAACACAGATTAAATTTTTTTAATTTAAAAGTCTATAATACCTTGATATTGTGGAATATTTCATGAAAACATGTTTATATAACTTTTTAAAAAACCCCAAATGGCCAGAGACCTAAAAGTTATATATTTACCAAAAAGTCTTGATGATCCACAATAAAAATATTGTTAACCACAGCATAACCTTAAACATGTTTTCTCCAATCTATGAGCAAGCAAGCAAAAGAGAAACATCCTGCCTCACATGTTTATACTATTTTATTTAAAGGTAAATCCAAGTTAGTACAATAATAATAATTATTGGTATTCTTCTAAATAGTGCATTTCTTCAGGGACATTAAAAAAAATTTTATCTATCCAGTCTAGAAAAAGAGAGCTAGAGCAGGAGGATGGGCAGAGGGAGAGGAGAGAGAGAGAGAGAGAGAGAGAGAGAGAGAGAGAGAGAGAGAGAGAGAATCACTAAGCAGACTCTCTGCTAAGCACAGAACCCATCCCAAAACCCCAAGACAACGAGCCCAGCTGAAACCAAGAGTCGATCGCTCAAATGATTGTGCAGGCGCCCCTTCAGGGACATTTAAAGAACCTTTCATAGAGTGTTCTATATACCATGGGAAAAGAAAAGTTATTATCAAGCATATCCTAATGGGTATACTAATAACAATATTTTCCTGAGTCTATGTAAGCAAATTCCTCTAAAAAAAAAAAAAGAGTTTTGGGGAATGCCTGAGTGGCTCAGTCAGTTAAGCATCTCCCTTGGCTCAGATCATGATTCAAGATCCTGAGATCGAGCCCCACATTGGGCTCCCTGCTCAGGAGTCTGCTCTTCCTCTGCCCTCCTCCCATCCACCACCCCCAGCTTATGCTCTCTCTCTCTCAAATAAATAAAATCTTTTTTTAAAAAAAGATATTTAGAAAAATGGAAAAAAGGAAGAAAAAATAAAAAGAAGAAAAAGAGAGGGAAAAAGGACATTTGAATCTGCATTTTATCACTCCATACTGAATAGTGAAGAATGAGGTGAGACCCTATGCTTACAGGTAACTAAAAAATGGAAACATGAATTCTTGCAAAGGGTCAAACATCTGCCTCTCAAATAAAATGAAAATAACTTTATTGATTATATGCTATATTGAAACTGAGATAATATTCCCTGAATTATTATTGGGTAATAGACTATCCTAGAACTTATAATAAGAAAAGAAATGGAGAGATTTCTGTAAACCTGAAGATGTCAAATGAGAATAGAAGCTTGAGTGTCTTGTTTTCATCTCTGATTCTGAGTAACAGGCAATTTTTAGAAAATATAGTTCCCATACCCACCTTGCTCCTGAGAATGGATACAATTTTGAGAAAGGGAAAAATTTTGTGAACTGTTGATGTATGTATGTATCAAGAATGCCCTAGAAGATATCTTAACATAGCACAAATTTTGATCATATAAACAACAGTGGAAAACAATATTAAGTGAAATTTCTTTTAGCTCTTCAATATAGACACAGTTGGTATGCACATGTGCAGATAGGTTGTCAGGAGGTTAAGGCAAATTGTGCAATGAGAGGAGGGTAATAATTTCTTAGCGTTTGGCTCTGTAGCTCCGAGTGATGCTTGGTTTGGGATTTACGGTTCTAGCTTTGGGAAAAAATGGATTTTAGTTCCAGATGTATTTGTAAGTCAGTTGGAAGCTTTCTCTTTGATTTACTTTCCCAAATGCTGAACTCTATTCACAGAAAATGAATATTTTTTCAGTTCCTAATTATTTGCTTGGCAGAAAGTGGGACATTATGAAGGCTTGGTAAATTGCATAGATGGAATGAGTTTTACCTTGGGTCCTAGATAACTCTAAGATAACTGCCACCATGTTTCCCTCTGCTGGGTGGAGACAAAGCCCGAGAATGCAAACTCGTTAAAAGAAGTATTAGTCTTCTCTATACTGAACTATGATCGCTGTGACTGGTATAGACAGAGACTACTAGTAGCTGACTCTAAATTTAGAAATAACTGTCTTTTCAGGTCTAGGGTGGGGGAGTCTCAATTTTAAAGCACTTACTGTAGGTTACTGGTAAAGTAAATTTTACCTCTACTGGGGAATCTGTTGAAAAACAATGCTAGGCAATAGACTGGTTAGAGTTGGTTTTTCTAAAGAAATAGTACATGGCTTTGAGATCATAAGAGAGGCTAGAGAAAATGAGAAATTATAGAGATAAGTGAAGTATCCAAAGTCATTTGGTTAGAAGCCAGGACTAACTAAGGCAAAGAATTCTAGGATTGATGTTCCTTCTCACTGGGAGATGGGGTTTCAGTGATCTTAGCCACAAATTAGTACTAATTGGATTAGTAATGACAGATATTCAGACACCTGCACCTCACTGCTTGAAATGTAGATTTGGCTGTCATTTTGAAGAGTAAGATTACTGAATTAAACCAGGGTTATGACTCTACAAGCTCTTAGCATCCCAGGATTATCCTGGCAGTCTAATAGCAGAGATAACTTTTCAAACATCTTAGGAACTAGCTAAGTAGACACTGAACAAACATGCCATTTTCATAAAATGAGAATTTATTGAGCACCCACTCTGAGCCAGGCCCTCTTTTAGGCACAGAGATGCAGGTAAGCTCTGCATCTGATGGAACTTAACTTCTAATATTAAATGGCATTTCATTTGCAGGCAGTGGAAGGACACAGGATACTCTGAGAAGGATGAATTGAGCCATGTAAAAAATTCAAATCTAAGTTGGGGGAAGAAGACTGATTTTGAGACGCTTGATGGCATACCATTGGGTGCTATCACCAAGGACTAAGTGGACGGGAAACGTAACTTTAGTTGCAAACAATTTTCCTTTCAGTGTTGATGAGCTTGTGCAAACCTGGCCTTTGAACTATAAAAATCTGGTTGCTTCTTGTCAGTGAACCAAGGGACAATTTAGGTGGCATTAACTCAATGAGCTTATTATTGCTAATCTCTTGCAGGAATCAATAAACATTTACTTTTTAGCCATCCCGAGTGACTTGCTATTATCACCAGTTATTGCTAGACTGGTGACCATTGAGAAGGTGTGAACAGAAACATTTTACCTGCGTGATTAGAAAGTCTGGGCCCTGCAACTTTTAGGGCTTTCTCAAGTTGCCAAGTCAGTGGTTCTGATTGTGCTTTTTGATTTTAAAGTTTGTTCTCTGCAAGACGTTACAAAGCTGTACTCTGATAATACATAATCAGCATATTATGTGTTATTCTCTGTGGTCATAATAAAACCAAACTCCTCAGCCCAGACAAGAACACACTGTTGTTCTTATGGGATATCCAGCCTTATCCAATGTCCCAACAGACTTCCGTACGATAGTTTCAATTTACAAAATCAACTCGCTTTCCAGTTCATAGCAACACCAGTTTCATGCTCTGAGAAAACGTTCAGAAGTGGCTGTAGTTTCATTTGTGACTAATCTGGAGAAACTTGCTAGCTATTTCTCGGGCAGAGGGGACCATCCTAGTTATTTTGTATTGAGCTGGAAAAAACTTCAAGGTCTTTTACTTAAAAAATTTTTTTTTTAAAAAACTACAAAAATCCTGTGTTCCTGACAGAAAAATCAGAAACTACAACTAAGCAGGAAAAGAAAAATCACCCACACTGCCACCCATCAGAGAGATCTAGTTACCATCTGTCCAGTCTTTTCACCTGTCTCCATCACAGTTTAAAAGATGAGGTCGTAGGGCACACAGTACTCTGTGATTTGTCACCTTGTCCCCCAAATAGCCATCATGTTGTTCAACGTCAACGTCATCCTACATGTCCTAACGCCTGCATATATGCAACAGGCGTGTAATTGACTTTATTCAAGGGCAAGGTAAGCAGGAGAAAATTTTTCCTTATTGATTGAATAATTAATTAATTAATTGAATAGAGGGCCCCCGCTGCCCTTTCCTTAGTGACCCCAAAACCCTAAGTGACCTCTGACCACCAATTTCAGGGTCGCGGGGCAACGCGCGCGGAGCGGGGCAGGGGGCGATGGCACCGCCGCTCGAGCGCACGGCCCCCCACGGTCCTCGAGCTACGCCGCTCGCTTCGGGGTGGCCAGGGGTCTGCGGGCGGCGCGCTGCGGCTCCGGGGACCCCAATCCAGGGACGCCGCGCCCCCCCCTCCACTCTCCCTCGCATCTGAGCCCGAGTTCGGGGGAGCCGCGGTCACTCGGCGCCCCCTCGCCCCCACGACAGCGCGGCCGGCGGGTCGCCTGCCCCCGCGGACCCTCTCGGCTCAGGGCCGCGGGACAGAGACCCAGAGGGGCCCGGGCAGGCGCAGCCCGGGTGCCGCACGGCGCCGCTGCTGGACCGGAGCCGCGCGGGGCCGCGCCGTCCCCGAGTGATGACGCGCTTCCTGCCCTCCCGGCGCTCGCGGGCCGTGCGCTCGCGCTCGCCCTCGGCTCTTGTTCCGCGCCCGGAGCCAGCGGCGGCGGCAGCGGCTGAGGCGGCTGCGGGAGCGGAGCGGTCGCCGGGCGCGCGGGGGGACGCCGGCTGCACTCCGGGGCAGGCGCTCTGCAATGAGACAGTAAATGCATCCCCCGGTAAGGCGCACGGCTCACTCGGGTTTCCCTCTTCCTCCAGCTGCATGCACGTTGCATGAATTTCTCGTGTCTTTTCCCTCCCCTGTACAGAAGGAAAATGTGGGTGGTTTTTTTTCCCTCCCTTTTGCATCTCGTGAGTGATGCCAATGCAGAAAAAAACCCGCAAAGCTCCCAGATTTGATATCCTAGGAGGGCTTTTTGCAAAAAAAAAAAAAAATAATAATAATGCTAATAAAAATAAAATAAAATTAATGCACCTGTCTATTGCACATGTATGTTTCACTGCACTCGACCTGGGCGCAGCGGTTTGCAAGCAGGCTGGCAGCCGGCGCCCGAGAGCGGATTCCTGGCGGCGGGCAGCCCGTCCCCTCCGGGGCTCCCGCCGGGTTTCCGGTAACTGGGCTTTGAAAAGCGGCCCCGCCTGCACGGAGTGTCCCCTCGGCCCCGGCCGGGCCCCCGCGCCGGCACAGTTGGCGCGGGCGGAGCGGCTTCATTCCAACACTGGCCGCCCCGACTCCAGCGCCACTTTGCAAACAAGTCTCCGGCCGCGGCTCGCGGCGACGACAGCCCGCGGGTGCGGGGCTCGTGCGGCCGCGGACCCTCGGACCTGCCGACTCCGCGACTCCCCCTCGGCGGCCTCGCCACCGGCAAAGCTGCTGGCTGCTGAGGGGCCCGGGCAGCGCCCGCCCCAGAGCGGAGCAGGCTTCGGCTTCAGCGGCGCTGGCCTCGCGCTGGGCGAGCGCTGCCCTTTCCTTCCTCGGCTCCGCCAGCTCCAGTTCCGCGCCCCCGGGGAGCCGGGGCGCCCGGACGCCGAGCGTTTCGGGGTTCCCCGAGGGGCCCGAGGAGCGACGTTGGAGGGCGCCATATTTTCCGTGGGTCTTGGCTGCCGGGGCTCCGGGCACAGCGCGGGGGCCCCGGCCGCGGAGGCGGAGGGGGCTCGGCCGGGAAAGTTTGCGCGCCGAGGAGGCGCGGAGGCGGCCGCGCAGGGCGCACGCGGAGCCGGCCCCGGAGGGGCGCGCGGCGGCAGCGCGTGGCAGGTCGGCGCGGCCCGCGGCGGGGGGGGGGGGGGCGAGCCGCCGTCAGGGGCTCCGGGTCCCGCCGGGACGCAGCGCGCGGGCTCCCGGGCGCACGGAACACGCCCCTCGCCCGCTCCGCCCGGGCCGTGCGCTCGGCGGCGGCGTCCCCGGGCCGGCTCCGCCCGCGCGCCCCGCCGGAGCCGATCCCCGCGGGAGGGGAGGCGGGAGCGGCCCGAGGCTCCCGCCGCCGCCTCTGCTGTCGCCGCGACGCCCGCTCGTGGAGGCCAGGTAAGGGGCGGCGGGCGGGGGCGTTTCCCGAAGTTGGGGCTCGGGTGAGGCGTGGGGAAACTTGACCTGCTGCCGTCCGCGACGAGTCGAGGGGACGAGGGGCACGGAGGCCGGGCCCCTGCGCCTCGAGGTGGCGGCTAGCCGCCGAGGATGCCCGGGGAGCGGGCGCGCGAGCGCCTGGCGGGGCCGAGACGCAGGGGCAGGAGGGAGCAGCGGGCCCCGAGCGCGCGGACACGCGGGCGCCCCGCCCCCTGCTCGGCTCTCACGGCGGCCGCGCGTGCCGGGCTGAGGCGTTCGTCCGGCTGCTGCGCGCCCTCCCCGCGGCGGGCGGCTCCCCGGGACGCGGCTGCGGGCTTGCTCTTGCGACTTACGGTAGCTGGGAGCTCGCGGTCTCTGCCCGGTGAGGGGGCCGAGGAAGGGCGTGTTTGCCGACCCACCACCCCCCGAGCGCGGAGACCTGCCGGCCTGGCTCCTTGGCGTCTCGCTGAGGCGATGCCGCCCTGTCGAGGTCACGTCAGCACCGGGGGCTTCGTCGCCGGAGAGGCTGCGGGGATCACAGGGAGAGGGGGGCTCGGAGGCCTTCCTCTGAGGGGCGCCCTGTGAGGTCCGGGACCGGGCCGCTCCTTCGCCAGCCGCCTTCAGCAGGTGCCTCCGGGGCCGGGGCCGAGGTCCCCCACTGCGCGTCGGAGGTTTGTCTTCCGTGATTGCTGATTGGGGTGTCGGCGCCACCCCTGGGGGTGCAGGTGGATGTCCCAAGGGGCCTTGGCGGTTACCTGCGTGAATGCTAGTTCTTTTTTCTTTTCTTTTCCCATTGAGCCCTGGAATAGTGGAAAACACCCCAGAGCCCAAGGTGACATTTATCCAGAATTAACATAACTAATTTAGGAGAGAATCAAATCAGTTGCAGAAAAGCATTTATTTTATAAAGTTCCTAGTCTTTAGCGGTGGTGGTACCTTGAATCGCAAGAAACACCGGGTTCTTCAGATTGGGGAAGTCACTGAATTTTCTCTGCCTTGGTACTTGGTACCCACTTAGGTTATTAAGGATATACAAAATAGTGTTAATTAAAGTGTCTCCTTTTGACATTAATGTTGTGCTTCTACTTCAAACAGCAGATTTTTAAGACTTAACTCTGTTAAATGAGTTAGGCGAATAGGTGTGCCTTGAATTCACTAGTGCTGAACCTATTGTTTAGGGTTTTTCAAACCAAACACTGTTTCTTTTCCTAAAGTATTTTTGTGGGAAGTTGGGTTTTACAAAGAGTGTGTGTGTGTGTGTGTGTGTGTGTGTGTGAGAGAGAGAGAGAGAGAGAGAGAGAGAGAGAGAGAGAGAGAGACTGACTGTGATGGGTAGAGATAGAGATTTCTAATCCAGGTTCTGTGTTTTGTACCTCAGAATTACACTGATTCCCATCTTCCTGCACCCCTCACTCACAGCAGATAATTAGTTCCCAAGAGCAGTTAAGGGAGGTTACAGATGGTGAACCATCTAAATTTTTACCAACTATACTCAGAAAAAAAAAGTCTATACATCTAAAAATGTATTTATTCGTTTAGCATTATGCTTTGTGTGCATGTACTACATGTTGTATGATAAAAATTAAATTAAAAAAATCGCTGTCTTAATAAATCTGAAATTAAAACTTAAGAGAAGTTGCAGACCCTTCAACCTTCATTCCCAAGTTTACAGCTTTCATATTTATGATTTCTTATGCCTCTCTTAACAAGGTGTTACAAATTGTGCTTTGTGGACTCTTGCCTGATTCATATTACAACTTCGTGACTTGATCAAAGGTCTTGCATTTTTGTTGTTGTTGTTGTTAAGAAGGTTTTATAACTTCAAAAGATTAGGAAAGGTTGGTGCTTTTTGGAGAGAGTTGCCTGTCAGTTTACCCCACTGTGTGGTGTGTATGTTGTGGTGTGTGTGTGGCCTGTCCAAACTCTTGGGACAGTGTCTGAAACTTATGATCCATGACAGACATTATTGATTCAGAACTTTTGAGTCATGATGTTTTCTAGGAGATTTTAGGTGGAGTTTGGCCAATACAGGAAGTACTAAAAAAGAGTTAAATAATTCAAAGTCAGTTTTATTGGGTACAAAAAATTTTAAAGACAAGAAGGAAAACTTAATAAGCAGGGCCAGAATTACAGCTTAACTTACGAAACTGGTGCCTTTTTAATTACAGTACTTTCCCCCAGAACTTCTTAATCCTATTATTTTTATATTTAATAAGGAGACTAGTTAAAACATAAGCCAAACAGAACTATTACAAATAATGGGGATAAGTGGTGGGTTCAACCAGATGTTTTGCCTGAAGTTAAAAGAGTTAAGGAATCTGAACTGTCAAACTCCCCCTGCAAGCCCTCTCTACAGGCCCCTCCTCAGTAAGCAGGGGATTTTAAGGAGCAAAAAATCTTGAAGGGGGTGGAGACAAAACCAAAAAAGAAATGACGAGATGGCTTAAGGTAGGCTTCTCCTGACATCACCATCCTGACAACCTTTGGCTCTGTGGCAGGTGCCATTTGAATGACAACTGGTAAACAAGGCTGGGTACAAAATGCTTTGGTTGTAAGAGCCTTTCTTTATTGTCAGCCGGAACTCTGAATTAAGACTGGGCTCATTTGCCACCCATTTCACAGTGGATTTTCAGAGTCAATGCCAAGAACATGATTTTTTCCCTTAACCAACAATGTAATTTCAGCTAAAGTGATGCCTTTCTGAATATGTAGGAAAAATAATGAATATTTGTATTTCCTTTTTACTCTTCTAGCTTCAATCTTTTTTTTTTTTTTAAGATTTTTATTTATTTATTCATGAGAGACACACAGAGAGAGGTAGAGATATAGGCAGAGAGAGAAACCGGCTCCCCAGCTGGGAACCTGATGTGGGACTCCATCCCGGGAACCCGGGATCATACCCTGAGCTGAAGGCAGACGCTCAACCTCAACCGCTGAGCCACCCAGGTGTCCCAACTTCTAGTTTCAATCTTAACAAAATTCTCTAAGTCTCCTATTCACTTAGCAATTGTTTTGAGGACTTACCATGCACTTCATGCTAAGAAGACATCCCCTGTCCTAACCTCACATGCTGAGTTCCTAGGGGGTGATATTCATTTGTACTTTACATATCTAATAGATGGGGGGGGGGTGGTATGTGATTAAATAGTATTTGAAGGACAACATAATAAGCAAAGGATATGAACAGTCAGTTCCCAAAAGAAGAGAGATAAATGGTCAATAAACATGTGAAAAGTTTCTTAACCTCCACAATGGTCAGGGTAATGCAAATTTAAAACACATTACTTTTCTGTCCATTCAGTTAACCCACTTTTTAAAAAATCGGTAACATCTTCTGTTAGATGTGTATGGGGGCAACTCATAGACTCTGGGGAGTTTGAATTGCTATAAAACTTAGGGAAAGCAGACAATTTCTCTTTAAGTTTGGAATGAACTATATACCCCAGCAATCCCATATTTGGAGGCCTGGTTTACAGAAAGAAAAACATCAACATACAAAGATCTGTGTGTAAAGATGTTTATTGTGGGGTCATTCAAGTAAATAAGCAATACGAAATGTCCATCAGTAGGATAAATAAATAGGGTTTATTTTGGATTATTTTGCAGAGGATATCCATGATGTATTAAATGTAAATAAAATCAAGTTATAGAGTATCAGATGTAGTATGATCCTATTTC